CTGCTTTTTAATAGTAACTAGCCCATCACAAACGCGCGCTAAGCGCGCACAGAGCATTAATAACTTAGGCATTAATTTACCTTCATTTTTACAAATTGATCTATACGATATTTCATATTAAATTGACATAAATCCCTAATAAAATGGCGTTTCAATTGTTGTGATTAGTCTTTTTATGACGGAAGAAAATCTTTTAATTTTAAAACATTTCAATCCATAACACTTTATACTTACATTATTTGACATACATATTTACTCTCAATTTTTAAATAACGACAAAAAACATTATTAATCATTTTTTTTTTTAAATTTTCATTTTTAATCTGAATCAACGAACCTAAAAACCCTTTACGTACGCCATTTTGGATCAGGCATTTTTTAATTTTAAATTTTAAGTTTAGAATCGAATTCCGCGAATTAGATTCAATGAAAAATCCTCTCTTGTATATATCTCTAAATCTCTGCCTTCTCCCTCTAGGACTGTTCAAAAGAAGAAGCTATCAAACGTGAAACAATAAATGGAATGATATTATAGTCCGTTTATACATTAAGACTGATATTATTGTATATTAAAAGTTAAATATAATATTTTAAGATGCTAATACAGTTCTCGGATTGACTTATGACATCATAAGATTGTACTTAAAGATAGTATTAAATGCAAGAATCGGCTATAAATACCGGCGTGCTTCGCGTTGTGAAATTGGGATATTGAATCTTATCTTATTCATTCTTAAATCGTTGAAAGTTGCAAAATCATAGCACATACATCTTTTAACTATACAACATATCTTCGATTTATATGCTACTACTTCCAAGCAATTTCGATTTTTGCGATGCAACCTTTAAGGAACTTCCCTCTTAGAGTAAACAGACCTATTCATTTGAATCGTTTATATATATAAAATTGCAAAATTACACTATCCAATTATGCAAAAAATATCTTTGATATACGTGCTATCATTTCCAAGCAATTTCGATTTTTGCACTGCAATCCTTAGTAGACTTCCTTCATAAAGCAAACAGACACGTTCGTTTCTAAATCATTAAAAATTGCAAAATTATGCTATCTAACTATGCAAAATATATTCCCAATTTTTGCGCTATAATTTCCAAGCAATATTGATTTTTGCACTGCATTCCTTAAGGGACTTCCCTCTTAGAGAAAATGGAACTATTCATTCCTGAGTTGTTTAAAATTACAAAATTACGCTCTTTAACTATGCAAAAAATACCTTCGATTTATGCATTACCATTTCCAAACAATTTCGATTTTTGCGCTGCAAAGCGCCCTTAAGGGACTTTCCATGTATGTCCGACTTCCTCATTTAATCAAATCATCACGACTAAATTATACAATAATGCGCTATTTATGCGTTCTCTATATCCGCAAAAAATTTTTGCGCTTACTTTATTTAATTAAAAAAAAATTGTTTTGTGGGGTACTGAGTGGGCTGTCAATCAGATCTCGCCAACGTGTTAATAACAATCGATTTGAAAAATTAAATATACAGGATTTATTCGCTATTTATACGCTTTTATATTCACAGAGTTTCAATTTTTTCGCTGCATTCTTTAAGGCACTTCGCTCTTGGAGCAAACAATTATATTTATCTATAAATCGTTTAAAATTGCAAAATTACTACTATCTAACTATACAAAATATATCTTTGATTTATACGCTACCGTTTCTATGCAATTTCGATTTTTGCGCTGCAACCTTGACACTTTTTTCTTGGAGCAAACGAATTTTGGAGCAAAACGAATTTTGAATAAAAATTATTATTATATTTATTAGAGGAAAAATAAAAACTGATGTGACTAAATTGATGTAGAATCATCTTGGATTATGTTGTGTTCCACA